AGATTGCCACATAAACATGGCGGTTTATTTAAGAAGAGAGAGATGAAATGAGTTTTATGATGATGAAACTCTCTTGACACGATTACCAACTCTCTGTGAGTCATCAAATTAAATGCCGATGAAACTATAAAATGAAACTTTGGATTGAGAGTGTATGTTTCATCTAAGTTTCATTTCATTTTATATGACATGGCAGTCTTGGAAAGAACGCCGTGAAACTAAGACCGGCCTAAGAGGCTAGTACTTTGAATTGGGCCGCCATCATATGAGCATGTATTTTAGTTAAGTGTGACAAGGCATTCTAACATGTATATATCCGCTTAATTAGAGTTTTTCTCTCTTTGTCTTGTGCATTTGTTTTTCCTATAGTAGATGTATTTTCCAGCTATTACAAATATATTGCAATGTCGTCCTAATACCAGATTATCTATGCACTAGACTAAACATAATGGTTTGATTATGTTCACTTCAATTTCAGGCAGCTCAGCTGATGGAAACTTGTTTGGATAGTGATCATGTGTGCCTTTGAAATTGAAGGAGCTAGAAGCCCCTGATATAATCCATATCTCTATCGACAAGAAGTCCGAAAGGGGTAGGACAGTGACAGCGACGGTGACAACAATGGCAGTCAAGTTGAACAGGCGAAAGAGGAGCTATGCTTCACAAAGGCACAAGGCTGAGAGATGTTGAACGATATGAAAGCTCAAGTTGCTGCTTGGAAGTCCGTCGTATATAATGCAGATGCTACACAAGGAACGCTCCAAGCATTAGTAGCAGCAACACCACCTATGGCTGTGCAGGAGTGTGGACCAGCTGAGGCTCAGGAAACAAGTAATCTGACTGTGGCTATGCTCCAAGACGAGATCATCTTATGTGAGAGAATCCTCAAGGAGGCTAAGGACAGGGCAGAAAAGACCAAGGAACGTCTTCGAGCTGACATCACCGAGTGGAAGGACATGGCCACTAAGATTGAGGCAGTCCTCTGGGAAGAGATCCTGCTGGCACGTAGCAGCGCGGTCGCAGAACTCGAGGTTTGGAAGCACAGTGCAACACAAGCCCAAGCATAGATCCGTGCAGCCTCCATGACCGTGGCACAGCTCCAGGACAAGATCTAAGCATGGAAGCACAAAGCGTCTAAAACCGAGACGCGCCATCAGTCACAGGACAAGAGAATTGCCAGACTGCAGGACAAGGTTTTTTTTTTTTTGCGATAGCAGGACAAAGTTGTTGCGAGCGAGTGTAGGCTCGCCAAGGTTTTTTGAGGGAACTGAGGGGCCTTGGCCCCTACAGAGATTTTATTAAATAAAAAGGAAGGTTAAAATTTACAAACAGGTATTACCAAGCAGCTAGGAAAACTAATTAGGGAACAAAGAAGGAAACGTACTTCCTCCGTCCTGTAATATAGCGCATTCTAGCATTCAAAATTTGTCCCCAAATATAAAGCATTCTAGAAGACATAAACTCATTTTGTATTAAATATTTTCCATTTATCAGCCAATCACCATTAATCGTGTTGATGATAGCGTTTTATTAGAAAATAAAGTGAGGACACATGCGTCTTTTGTGTTCTCTCTTAATTTGTCCTAAAATTTCTAGAATGCACTATATTACAGGACAGAAAGAGTAGAAAATTAAACAAGATCTGGCCATTAAATTAAAGAAATATTCTGAAGCCATAATTCAAAACTTGTAAGAAGGCTGTGTGTGTGTAGACCACGTGAATGTGTATGGCATTAGCTCGTGGGAAACACACAAAGACCTCTAAGGGGATAGTACTTTGAATTGGGCCACCATCATATGAGCATGTATTTTAGTTAAGTGTGACAAGGCATACTATCATGTATATATCCACTTAATTAGAGTTTTTCTCTCTTTGTCCTGTGTAATTGTTTTTCCTATAGTAGATGTATTTTCCAGCTATTACAGATACCATGGATTGTCATTCTAATACCTTATTATCTATGCACTAGACCTTAGCAGCCTAGGAACGGGAACATGGCCCACGTTCATGTTCCCATGCTCCACGTTCCGGGAACGTCTACGTTTCGGTAATGCGAATGTTCCCGTTCCCACGTTATAAAATGATACCCCAAGTTCCTATTCCCGTTCCGGGAACGAGGACGAGAACGGGAACATGGCTGTTAAGCACGGGAACGAGGACGAGAACGGGAACATGGCTGTTAAGCACTGGACTAACCATAATTGTTTGATTTTGTTCACTTCTATTTCAAGCAGCTCAGCTGGTGGAAACTTGTTTGGATAGCGATCATGTGTGCCATTGAAATCGAACGTGTGGTTACCAACTCTCAGGAAGCTTTATGCTACACTGTGAGTTGTCCAAAAGTTGTTCGAACAAACTAAGATATTTCATGCTTCCCATAAAACTAAAATAAAATTTCCTTGCTGCTGAATCTAATTATATAGGCATCTGCAAAGTTGATTATTTGTGTATTTGTACTTTTCGTACTATATGTAACACCCTAAAAATTTCATCTTTTCAAAATAGCTTAATTTGATTTATTTTTGCATTTATGTGTTTCATTCAAATGTAGGAAAAATAATAAAGTTTATGAAATTAAAATCAAATATAAGGATAGACACATGTTGATGCATACATGATGCTGCATTCTTATTTTTGTATTGAGTGGTTTTGACCAAAACTGAAAAGGGATTCAAAATTCTTTTGAAAATGGATTTGGAAAACTCAGAAAAGAAAAGGATTTCTCTCCCTCTCTCTCTTTTCGGCCTATATAGCCCGGCCTGCTCCCTCTGTTTCCCAAGGCCGCAGCCCACTCGGCCTTCTCCACCCCGCAGGCCCAGCGCCCTACCCCGCGGCCCGCACCAGCAGGCCGAGGCCCAGCCCGGAGCCAAGCGCTGACGCGCTCCCTTCCTCCCTCTCTCTGTTTGACTTCCATGCTAAATAAGTCCCATCGGCTGCCATTTCGTGCGATATAGACATATACTTCTGGTTGTTTTGTTTTTTTTTGAAACTGGGTAAATTTCATTAGTCAACAGCTAACAAATCGTTAGCAACAAGTACCTGAACGCTATCAGGAACAGAGCTCATAATTTGCTCCTCACCCTGATTACATAACAGACCCAGCACAGAACAGAAGCATTCACAAGGCCCAAATCGGTTACTGATAACATTAGCAGAGAATAGACTGCTCACTGTTACCACAACCACGATATGGGTTGTAGCAGCACAATATTTATGCCCGCACAAGCTGACAGCCAAAAACCTGTGGATATTATACACAAACGCTGCAGCAACAACTGGAACAAGCGTCACAAATGCCTTCCACGCAAGGCATAAGGCGTCGTCCAGACTCCAGAGGAAGGATCGCATCGGCATACACGTCATCAATACAAAAGCAACTCAATGAGATGTATGGACCTTTTCGAACTACAGAAAGTCATCAGGCATGTGGTTAAGGTCTTCATGTACATGACAAGGGGGATACGCAGCTCAAGGCTCCTGTTTTAGCATGATATTGATGATGCCTATGGCGGCCTTTGGCTGATAATGCTCATCAGTGTCAACTTCTTCAATCTCCTGTTTGTATAAACAAGCAGACAAAAACAAAATCTAATAAGCAACTATTATAGTGATATCACCCAAATGAAAATACGTAAACAGCCTGGGCCATGTGCATATGCCAACAGTCCTAACGTAAATGGCGAATTCAATTTGGCCAGGCTTTTTCATTAAATAAATGCAGCATGTTATATTCATATATAACTTGCCATTTTGAACACCTGCTAGTCTATAAATCAAGATTCGAAACATCTATTTGGGCTCAAATTCTGAAGATAAGTACATGAAACAGGGTTCTTTCTTTGTCACCAAACCAAAACACTCCTCGCAGCTCTGGCAGGGCCTACACAGAGTCAAACATCTTTTCAAATGGTGGGGGGGGGGGGGGGGGGAGGGAGGGAGGATGATCCTGATACTCTAGTATCTCAGTTAAATGATGATCTACAGTTCAGAAGGAGTCTGCATGGACCAGAGGTGGAGCTTCTGGAGGACCTGAGAGCTCAACTTGATTCTGTATGTAGATAATAGGAAAGAGGATAAGGTTGTATTGGCTTTAGATAAATCCTAAGTCTCTCTATAAATTCTTAGCTGACGTAGGAGTGACTAATATTCGGGCAAGGGCAATTTGGAAGTATAAAGAACCGCTAAAAATTAAAGTGTTTATAAGGCGATTGTTTCACAACAAGTTACAAACTGCTGTGACTTTGAAGAAGAGGAGTTGGAAAGGGAAATTTTACTGTTGCTCATGTGATCAACAGGAAGCAGTAGACAACATATTTTTTGTTGCTCCATAGCAAGGGTACTGTGGTGCTGTCTAAGAAATGTGTTTGGCTGGAATGGTTTCCCCAATCTCAAGAGCTGAATTTAGGAGAGTTGGCTCCAAAATAGGAACGGTATCTCTCAGCACTTGGCAACGTTTGTTTTTGCAGGCTCCGCTTGGGCACTGTGGAATAATAGGAACAAGATGCTGATTGAACACACTTTCCCCGATAAGCCTATGGGCATAGTCCTCACTGGTGTCGCTTTCTTGCAGAAGTGGAGACCCCTGAAGAAGGAAAACAACTGCAGGATCTGGATGTTATGACGGAGAAACTCCTGGATGACTGCATAGCTTTGAGCCTTCAAATGTGCCAAGCTAGGATGTGGGAGAGTTTAACAGCACTGTTCTAGGGCAGCTTCTTGTTTCGCCTAGTTTCGTATCTTTGCTGCCTAGTGTTTCTTGTACTCAGTTCCTGTTAAGCTGGTATCCCAGCATACTTTTGTTGCTTCCAATATAAGCAGAGTTATCTCAATTCCAGAGAGAGAGAGAGAGAGATTTGAACATCTGCTTTCAGAGCTCAAGAACAGTTTCATGTAAATCAGCCAAAATGCAGTACATGTGGTATACAATAAGCAAAGAAGCCATTCAGCACAAAGAGATAAAAGGAAAACATAAGTCATAGCTTAATGATTCAAGCAAACATTACAGAAGAAAGCTCCCAGAAAGAGATTCAGAAAGCACCTGAACGATGTCCTCTCCCTTGATAACTCGCCCAAATACAACAAGCTTGTCATTCAAGTCAGGAATTGGAGCGGTCGTGATAAACAAATCAAATCCTTTGTTATTAGGATTCTTTGCAGTCCCAATCATAAATGCCTCATGTTTTGGACTGCAAAATCGTAGAAATATAGTTAACGTTAAGGACAATGCTATTATAAAAGATCTGGTCTACAAAACTAAGATTCAAGATAATTTAATATATGCACTGCTCAGGAATCAAACCTGAGATCATTTTTCCCACTAGCTTTAGCTTTCGTTATCCATTCTTGGGCAGCTCCATCAAAATCAAAATCACCACCTTGAATTACAAAATTTTTTATGATATGCCGAAATGGCATTCCTTTGAAATGATTACTCTTGCTGTGCAATAGGATAAATATTAGATACTATACCAAATAGCCAAAAAATTAATAGCTCATCCTGAAGAATTATTAACTTATTAGCTCCAACTCGAAGTGTTTTCCCAGGAAAGATGCATAGTAGCAAATACAATATTTACGATATCATAAGCATAGTTGCCATATGCTACCATGGTAGCGATAGTTTCACACTTTCCACACTAGCATTAAAAACTGCCACATATTCATGCCACCAGTAACTAGTTTATCATTACAACCAAACTTTGTTAACAGGTTCATGAAAGACTCAAATAAGCCCATTGATTGCCAATTAATTAACACTATTAGACTTCACGTTTTCTTTGGGAGAGCATAAAAGCACTTTTTAAGTTCAATGTTATGCCTCGAATAACTGAATATAAATTCTCTGAGAATTTTAGTCCAACTGTTGAAACTAGCAAGGTGTTGCTTGACCCATCAACTAAAAGTATTGTTTGATAGGTTGCAGATTTGTAGTTATTCATAGTGTAACTGTGCTGCATAGCCCTACCTCTACTGCCATTCAAATTGTGATAAAGTTACCGTTTCGAAGTTCTAACTTCTGTGGATTAATCATATATGCTATATACGGCGAAGCTATGTTTTTCAACCAACTATGGCACACAAGCAGAGCTACGTTTTTTAACTGACTATGGCACAGCTATATTGTGACACTAACACAATCAAAATAACAAAACAAATGATCATACAAATCTTATGTCATGGAACTATTAAATAAATCATGGATTCATCACAATTTATGGTGCTTACCACAAGTCAATAAATCTATCCACAACACCAGCAGAAGCATCTTTGTATATTTCTATAGTAATTGGACCCTTTGCAGTGTTCATTACCTGCAGAAGTTAAGCAGTGGCATAATGCTTCTTTCTACTACAAAGATGATTAACTGCAGTAGGGTGATAAAATATTTGTAAAACACCTAATTTATCTGCAAAGCATCATTGCATTCAAAATTTATATCACCAACTTAGTAAGGTTGTATGCCATAATTTTTCATACTAATTCTGTGGATGAACAGTTCTTGCAAATTCTGTGGATGACAACCAGTGTTACAAAATGTTGAGTCTCAACAACATACAGCAGAAGTTTAACATAGCAAAAGAAACACTTCATAACTAGGTATGCAGTGGCGTCCAATATATCACAGTATTAGTCGCATTTAGATGATTTGTCTCAACTTCTCAAGCCCAGTGGAATCGTTACTTAGTGTTAAACTTTGGTCAGTACTGACTGACCCAGGTTTCATCATTTCATGAGCATAGTTTGAGCAGTATAGAACATCAAAAAGAACACCATTCATCCCCACTTAACAAGCACTGTTACCATTACCTTGTTTGGGTAATGGGGTTCACACAAAAGGCCATAACTCACTATGCTACAACAAAAGTTGTATTTCCACATGCAAATTCATACATCCTTAAAAAGGGCGTACCCAGTGCAGAGAGCTCCCGCTCTGTGCGGGGTCTGGGGAAGGGTGTTAGTGGCAAGCCTTACCCTCGCCTGTGCAATGCGAGGAGACCGCGACTCGAACCCGGGACCTTCCGGTCACAAGCGGTAAGACTCTACCGCTTGCACCAGGCCCGCCCTTCAAATTCATACATCCTTAGCGAAATAATATTTTTTGAAGACGTATCAGTGTGTCATATCCTTTAAGCATATCATGCTTCAAGAAAATAAACCACAACCTGATTTAGATGTCAGTAGCAGCACAGCATGTTATAATGCATATACAATATACATTAGATGTTACATATATTCTCAAGTTACATTCAATGGTTGATTAAATATACGATCAACATCTGGTGGTTTGTTTAGAAATTGAGTTGAGAAGAGCGAACAACAAAACTTACCGCATATCTTGGTCTACTTATCATTTTTGGATCCACCGGTCTCACAGCAAGCTTGATTCAAACAAATGAACAAAAGAAGACAATCAATGAGTTTGACCGTTGATGTCTAATGTCCCCCAAAAACTGATAATAAGTTATCAAGAAATTTTTATTAAGTATTAAAGACTACGTCAAATAGATGTTCCATTTCATCACAAATGAACTATGAAGAAAGCAAATTCAATAGGGAAAATGCAGACGACAGACCTATATATTTCTTATAAACAAGAATTCTCATTGGTTCTGTTGCCAGAACGAATAAGAAACAAAATCCAATAGCCATGTCAATGAGTTAAACCTGAAATGTATAATTATGATACTAACCATGCAACACGCTTTCCAACATATCACTTAGTATAATCACTAGGCCATACAAAGTTATTTAATGGGGGGAAAGAGAGATAATGCCACCTAAGTAACATAAATGACATGTACCTAGTTGCAGATTCATTAAGTGTAAACAATGCGAACAGATTTTTGTAAGACTGTGTAACTTACCTCAGCTTCATGAAGCTCCATTTCAAAGTCTTGGGCAGACCTGCAGTTGAACTCATCAATAGAGGAATGCTGAGCAGAAACTATATTAAACTACTTATTGAACAACTACAGGGCATGAGCTTACTTCATCTCAACTTATTGCAATATATAAGTGTGCTAGGGGCACCAAATAGTAAAATAAACAAAAAAAATGATTTCCAGAAAGGACATTAACCTTTGATGCCAATGGCTGTAGGTAGCATAGAGAGATAGCACAACCAATATGACAATCAAGTTCCATGTGATGATAGTAGAGTAGCTGATTCGAGATGGAGCCTTCTTCGTCTTGCTTTGAATTAGCAATTGCTTGGGCTTTATCCTCGCCATCTGCTACACTGGAGGGGAACAGCTCTATCTGGGAAGCCCTCCCTTCTCCAGGATGGGAAAGACAAGTTTAAGTCAGGGCAAGAGAAGGGAATAAAAATAAAACAGCTCAAATCCGCAATGGACTATATGATATTCTCAGTAATGCAAGCAAAATAGAAAAAAGACACAATTTTGAAGAACAGAGGACAGACTCTGCATCATTCAGATGGCTTCGGATAACCCTATTCTAGAGGCATCCTAAGCACAATCAAAGTTTGTAGGCATAATACATGGATATACACTTGTAATTAGACCAGATCCGAATGCAAGTTAGGATTTGGGTGCTCGGTTTTGTACAGCAGGAAGGAAGACCAAGGGGTGGGCGTACCTGGTCGTGCTCGCCGCCGGCGAATGGCCCGAAGAAGACCTGGGAACCTGGCGTAGGGAGGCAGCGACGGCACCTGGCGTAGGACGGCAGCGACGGCCGCCCTGTCGTCGCCGAGAGAGAGAAGGGGGTGGGGCAGAGGGAGAGAGCGAGCACGCTGGGGGTAGGAAGAGAAACGTCAGGGACTCTCAAGGGCTGCAGTTGAAGTTGCAGTTGCAGCATGCCAGCGTAGAGGCAGACCGGGGTCCTTGTAGGCGGTGTAGGGCCATTTTAGATGGGGCTCGAGGAGAGAAGAAAATTACTCCCTTCCTTTTAAATTATATATACAAGTCGTTTTGATTTTTTTCAACCTCAATATATGATTTTGCAGGGAAGGGGCACGAAGATTTTACTATGTATCTAGATATATGTTATATCTTGCCTGCTAGCCTGGTTAGATAAAATTGGGCAAAGCATCCAAACGTCCCCTTCATCGTCTCAATATTTTTGCAATGAGTCTATCACACTATAATGTCATTTCAAGTTTTAAATCTAGTTTTAATTTTTCTCACCCAACATTTGGACCTAGAGTGACCATTTTGCCCATATGTTCTTTTACCTTATTCCTTCATCTCTCATGTGTTCTCTCCCGGAGTTGGGGCGACCAACGAGACCGACGCCAACATCGTCGCCCCCAAGCCATGCCTCCCCTAATCGCACTAGCCTGAGCCATGCCACTGCCCCAATCTGTGGCACGGTTGGTGTCACCCTCGCCGAATCAAGTCGCCGTGAGCACAACCATGATGACAGTCACGTCCACGGCAACGACGGTGGCACCACCTTTGGTAGCGGCAACTGCATGCCCTGACATGCACCAGCCAGCAATGGCATCACCAGGAAAGGTGCTAGCGGCGACATCATCCTATCTTGATCATGGACGGCGCTCTAATAAAATCGCTCGCGAGTTATCTTTGATGCGGGCAATTCCACCCAAATGGGAGCTTGCTCAAGCTCAGAGTCAGGGGTTGGGACGGCACCGCTTAGGGGAGGCGCAGCTTGGGGAGCATCGGTGTTAGAATCATAGGAGACCCGATCGCCCCCCAACTCCATATCCATAAGAAAGAGGGGAGAGCACGTGAGAGCCTTGAAGGGAACAGGTAAAGAACATAGGGGCAAAATGGTCACTTTAGTCTAAATTTTGGGTGAAAGATTAAAACTGGGCTTATTATAGCACGATGGACTTATTTTATAAAGATTTGCTTTAAGTGAATTTTATAGGGATCAAACTCATTTTCTTTCTCATCTTCATTTCTGTGCTACCTTATCACTTTTGCTGACGTGGCTCTATAATAAATAACTATCAGCCGACGACGAAGTACCATAAAAGCACTTTGTACTGGAGACTTTATTCGTTTGAGTGGTGAGCACGTAATCATTGGTAAAGAGACATATGCCCCGTTCGGCTTGCTGAAAGTGGCTGAAAACACTGTTCTGACTGAAATATTGTGAGAGAAAAATACTGTTCCGGCTAAAAAAAGAAGCCGAACAAGCCGAATATAAGATAAGCCGAACGGGTAACTTTTGTTATTTCTTAAAATCTAGTTCATTCGTCCCAAGATAAGTGCCGCCATAGTATCCAGATCAAAAAAAATTTAAGTTTAACTAGATTTATAGAAAATATTAGCAATATCTATATTTTTAAATAAGTATATTATGAAAATAGATTCAATGATCTATCTAATGATATTAATCATGTACTATAAATATTAATTAATATTTTCTTGTATAATTTGGTTAAAGTTAAAAGTGTTTGACTCATCGGGCGAGAATGACACTTATTTTAGGACGGATAGAGTACCAACCCAGTATAAGAGCAATCTCCAAAAATCTTTCTTAAACTTACTTTTTAAATCATTATTTGGAAGGTTAAAATCGTTCTTTATATTTTCTGCCCTTTAATAATTTCTTTATATCATGTGTGTACTCTAGAGAGCCAGCTCCGCTCTTTATCTTTAGCTAGCAAGAAATCCAAAACTAAGAATGGGTATATTTAGAGATCTAAGAGCAGATAAAGATTTATGTGAAAAAATACCCACTGACAGCCTCTTTAATTAGATATCTAAATATAGACATCATCTATTCTAAATTTCTCGCTAGCCAAAGATGAAGAACGAGAATGCCTCTTCAGATTGCACACAAGATGTACAAAAGTTGTTGGAGGGTACAAAAATATAGAAAATGATTTTTATTCAAATGACTCCCTAAATAATAATTTAGAGAGTATTCCATCTGTCCTAAAATAAATGTCATTCTCATTCACTGCGAAGTCAAATGCTTTTAATTTTAACCAACTATATACAAGAATTTATTAATATTTATGATGTATAATAAGTGTCGTTAGATTAATTGCTTAAAAAATATAATAAATTTATTTAGAGATAAAAGTGAAATGATATTTAATTTGGAGCGGGGAGAGTAAATTTTAGAAAACACTTTGGATATGCTTTATAGAAGTCATTGGAGTGTACTCCCTCCATTTCAAATTATAATTCGTTTGACTTTTTTTACTCCAAGTTTGACCACTCGTCTTATTAAAAAAATTATGCTAATATAGTCAAATTTAAGTCATTCTTGAAGAACTTTTGTTAATAAAACAAGCCACGACAAAAGAAGTGATATTTAGCACAAATTTTTTAATAAGACAAGTGGTCAAACTTGAGGTAAAAAAAGTCAAATGAACTATAATTTGGAACGGATTTAATATTTATTTTCATAGGGACAGGACACACGTCATGCATTCGAGTGTACACATAGGTGAAGGGCCTGTTCGGCTGGTATTAAAGCCAGCTGATAAGTCGGCCTTGGCTGATTTGTTGTGAGAGAAAAATACTGTAGAAAAATCATGTCCGTAATGCTTTTGAAAAAAATAGTCATGTGGAGTACTTTATCAGTTAGGTTCTCAAAAGGACGAAGTACTTGTTGACCTTTTAGGCTCCGTTCGCTTAGCTGAAAAAATAAGGCCGAAACATTGTTTCTAACTAATTTATTATGAGAGAAAAACATTGTTCCAACTAAAAACATAAATTAAAAAATACGAATTATAAGAGAAGCGAACAAGGCTTTAGAAACAATATTTAGCCAGGTAGCAATCCGAACCATTAATTAATTTCAAGTGTTTGGTGACCAGGATTGCTACTTGACTAACAGATTGCCTGTCACCCCCGTAAACCAAAAACGATAGCCTCATAAAATAGCCACTTTGAATTTGTCCGCGCCAAATCACCCAAGCAGAAGCCAACAAAACAAAAGTGCAAAGATCAAAGAGTTAAATGTATGGTAGGTTCTTGAACTTTTAGGTACATGAACTCTTAAAATATATTTTTGGTACCCTAAAGTTGTTTAAATATGTCACTTAGGTCCATAAACCTACGTGGCATCGCCAGCGTAGCACTGACTATTCACAAGGGTAGACGTGGCGGCACTCTCGACGTCACCTGGTCCTAGGACGTGCGCACCGCGCTCAGGCTTTGCGGCCTGGGCAAGGGCGACAGAGAAGGCTTCTATGCCGCCGCGCTTTGGATGCGCGCGGGGGATGCGAAGACGCGCTCGCCCTCAGCCACTAGAGAGGCAGCCATGCATGCGACGCCACTGGAGCTTGGCAGCCTCGTTGTGCGGTAGCACCGCGTCCACGAGCATCCTGGCGCAACCGGTGCACACCTCGTTGAAGAAGCCGGCCATGCGGTGTTTGTCGTGCTTCTGGAACACCTTGTACTTGTCCATTGCCAAGGATGCCACCCACGCATACGTCAATGCTTCAAACTTGCACGCACACATGTAAACCTCCGGGAGCTCGAGGGCCTTGCACAGCAGCACCAGCACCTCGCGGCGGAGCCGATCACGGACACGGTAAGCATAGTGCTTTGTCCGAGATGTTGAGGTACTCCTAGTTGGACTCACGTGGAAAAGTAGAAAAACGAATCGTAGTATTTGATTGATGAGGGTATATGTTAGCTTTGAGATGGACTTGTTTTCTAGGATTGCCGAAAGGCTCGTCGTGCGCTGCCGCTTGAGCCCGGCGGCGCCTGATGATGCCGCCGCTCTCAACTCCTTGGCGGCTGACGACGCCATGCGCTCAAAGACGCCGCTACCCCCTCGCAGCCGACGCTGTCATCCGCGATGATGACGAGCACGTTCTTGACGCGGTAGCCGAGGGTGGTGATCTCGACCTTGAGCGTGCGGCTGAGGTCCGGCGGACGTCGACGCGGTCGTCTCAGCAGATCGACGCGAGCACGACGAGGTGCCCCCCTCCCTCCCCATGTCTCCTACCCAGCCCTACACCTGTGCTAGTGCTATCGGATGGAGAGCCAGCAGCCTAGCAATGGAGTTCACGCGCACGCGGACCCATGCATGCGTTGCAAGTTGCATTCGTAGATTACTGGATCCGCGTATGCTGTGACGACGGCGATCGAGCCAAGGACGAGGGTAGAAGCCTTCCTTGTCACCCTTGCCCAGGCCATTGACGAGCCTAAGCACGGTGCGCGCATCCTAGGACTAGGCGATGTCGAGGAGTGCCGCCACGTCTGCTCTTGTGAAATGTCAGCACCTCGTGAACCTAAGTGACATACTTAGACAACTTTAGGATGCCAAAAATTCATTT